CTTTTGGAAGTTGTGGCTCACGAGACGCCATGCCGCAGGGGGTTCTGGGGCGGCCTCATTCACCAGAGGCCGTGCCTCAACAGGCAGAGAGCCGGCAGAGCGGGACACAGCACGGCCCGGGCGGAGCAGACGTCCACCCGCGACCGCGACGCCCGCGAGAGCAGCCGCAAACAGGGCGGCCAGCGGGGGGGGGGGCAGGGGGGGGTCCTCCTAGCACGTGCGGGCGATATCGCCCACTGGCGACGTGTCCCATGCGAGCTCTGCTGTGCACGAGCACCGGCCCGGCTGCTCTGCTTTGCGGTCCCCCGCCGCTCGCCGCCCCCTCCGCCTCCACTCTCCACGCACATCGTCTCGGTGGCGCCACCAGCAGAGATTGCGGCCTCAGGCACGGCCGCAATCTCCCCATATCTCCCCATACATGTCTCCCTCAGGTACGGCCGCTGCCAGCAGCCGCCGCCAAATGCGACCAACGAGCCGCCCACGTACGCCGTTCTCCGTTGCGTCGCTTTCCGGGGCGACAGCAAGCAAGAGGCGGCCGCGACGGTTCTCGGCCCCCCAACCCCTTTCCCTGCTCCCCTCGCACACGCGCCTTTGTTCGCAGCGGCATGGCCCGGGGCACCCTCACCCACGCGACGGCGGGTGCTTTTGGACAGGATGATGTCGAGCTCTTCGCCATTGACTCCACGGACGAGTCCAACGTCGCCCTCTTCCACCCGCATGCGTCTGCCGCTGGGCACCTCTCGTTCCTCTACGCCACCAAGGACGGGCGCATCCGCTGCTTCCGGTACGACCCGGCGCAACGGCAACGAAATCTAGAGGCGGCCGCCGCCGAGAGCGGCGCCACTGCGGAGCCATCGCTCGGTCTGTCTTCTTCCGCCCGATGAGCGCTCTCGGAACCCGAAAGCTTGGGGGTTGCAGTTGCTGGCCGCCCTCGTGTCGTCTGTTGTTGTACGTCCTTGCTGGGAGATGGTGATGGCGTCCAGGGCCACGCGCCTCTTGATCTTGCTTTTGACCGCGCAAGACAAAGGGTGGCTCAGCCATGGGAGAGAGAACGAGGGCTACCATTCGTGGACAAAGCAGATACCAGACGTCGGTTTCCCATAGGGTTTCTGCTGCGGTTTCCCATGGCGGTTTCCCATAGCCGAAAACCCAGGGGTCGGTCGGTTTCTGCGGCGCGCTCTGTTCTCGGGTCCGAGGGCCGCCTCAACTGGAGTAGGGAAATTTGGATTTTGGTCAAACGCCTGCTGGGGGCAGCTTCGCGGAAGTATTCCGGAAGCCAGATGATCCCCCAGCAGGCACACACACACGGAGGTGACAGGGGATGGTGGTGGGTTCAAGCAGAGAAGGGGAGGGAGAGAGCGACGCGGCGAGCGCAGGCGGCGAGCGTGCACGTCGCCTGTGCGGCGTCTTGTTCACTCCCCTTTGAGCTACCTTTGTCGTTTGTGCCCCCTTAGGGGCACCCCTCCTGCGCTGCGCGTATGGTCACCCCTCCCTTCCGCCCTGTTGTTTTGGATGCCCCGCTCCGAGAAAGCATGTCTCGCAGCTGCGAGAAAAGACCTTCTCGGGTCCGAGGGCCGCCTCAACTGGAGTAGGGAAATTTGGATTTTGGTCAAACGCCTGCTGGGGGCAGCTTCGCGGAAGTATTCCGGAAGCCAGATGATCCCACTTGTCAACAGCAGGCGCCAGCGCCAATCAAATCTCCCTAGTGATGTTGACAACGGGCAAGTCGAGATGGGCAATTTGACCATGAGTCGTTCATCGGGGATGAACTCCACGTAGTAGTTAATGGATTCCGATCGGCCGCGACAGAGCCACCGAAGAACAGTGGGAGGGCTTTACCGACCCGACTCGGCTGAGCCGTCGGTGCCCGCCGCCCTCGCACGCCCATAGGACGACGATGACGACAGCAGGAGCTCGGCGCGAGCCGATTTAACTCCTGCCCCATTGTTGTAAGGTGCGTATGGCTCGGAACGTGAAGCGATGTAGTAGCTCGAATTGGCGTGAACACCGGCTTGCTGCGCGGCGGGTCAACCCCATTATGCGCAGTCATCCGGAATTCACCCAATCGTTGAGCTGAGTTGCCCCGACGGTAGGATGCCGTGTCAAGGCCCAGCTGGGCGCTAGGCGCCCTGCCGCACTGGCGCAGGGCGCGACGGCAGTGGCGGCGGTTTGTGCTGACGGCGGCAGCGCTTCGAAGCGGGAGCGACGGGCCACTGTCACGGGCGCCAGGCAAAATGCGGGCGCGCTGCCGTGGGCATGACAAGCAACGGCCCCGCCGGTCGGCGTCCGATGCACGAGGCAGCCATGTTGGCTGCCACGGCGTTTCCGCTCGGGATCGCGGCAGCAGGACTCGACCGCATCGCAGGCCTCCCTCCCGTGAGCCACAAAAGTGCGTGGCAGCGCGGCGCGCCGCCAACCTCGCTTTCGGAGCAGAAACCAGAAACCAGAAACCATAATGCCTGGAGCGATAAAACGGTTCCCCCCAAAGGGTTCCTCCCACCCAGAACATGCTGCTGTCTTAGTACTCCCGTTCGACCCATTCGGAATCCGATTAGTTAATGAAGGGTCATTCCGCCGGAATGACCCCTCCACGGGGAGATCGTTCACACCTCGAAAAACCAGAACCCAGAGTGTCTGGACCGATATTCCCATGGCCCGGATGTTTTCTGTGGGATATGTCGAAAAAGCAGAACACAGAGCTCCTCCTCCTAGAAGTCCGACGGTTTCTTGATAGCTGATATGCCAGGGAAGAGCCTGGTATCTCAGTATGTTATATCCTATGATATAACATAGTGGGATCTGGTTTGTCCACACCTCAGGGCTACAAGACCGACCTGGCTGAGCCGGGCGAGGGCTTTGTTTGAAGTTAAAAGTCGAATCAGAGCGCCGTCGGCGCTGTCCCTCGTTTTCCTCCCACGGACCGCCCGTCCGGCACCGCTCCGGGACGCACCGCGCCGGCGAAGCACCATCAAGCTGCTGTACGGCCCCGGCATCGCCTCCCCTGGCTTAGCTAGACTGAGAGATATTGTGCAAAAGGTTGGTCTCTACAATGTATACACTGACACTTTACCTCCCAGAGCTCGTTCCGGTCCGCCACGGCCATCCTCGGCCTCCGGGGGGCCCCCGGCCGCGGCGCGGTGCGGCGGAGTCACAAATCCGACCACAGAGCACCGGGACGCGGTCGGGCGATCTAAGGCCCAGTGAGGCGTATGCATTGCCCATCCAGGGCTATCACCTGGACCTATCAACAAGGCGCCTGCGGCGCCGTGGCAACGAGGTGTTGTTCACACCCGGCCAACCATTTTCGTGCAGCACAGGATGTCGGCCCAACTCGCAATCTCCTCCCTCACGGCAAGCGCCCGCACGCGCCTCGCCGCGGGGGATGCCCGTGCGATGGACCTCTCGCTGAGCCGCGTTGACGCCCACGCGGCTCAAATCATGCAGCTCACCGGCCGCACGGCGCACCGGCCAAGCGTGCGTGGCGTGGCGCACGAACAGCTGCGCCGCCTGGCCCAGCTGTGGCTGGTGCTGGCTGCGCTGTACCGCAACCTCGTCAGCGGAAAGAAGCTTGCGCAGAGGGAGCTCTGGTACCGGCTCAAGCCGCTCGGCATATTCACCTCGCCACAGCAGGTGCTTCGCTCCCCCACCCAGGTTCATACACCTTCATGGCCCACAACACCGCGTTCCGTGCACAGGTGTATGATCGCGTCTCTGAGTCGGGCGCAATCATTGCCGAATGGACCGGGAAGGCGTGCCCGCGTGAGTCGCTCGGCGTGATTGCAGCGCCACGCGGCTCGATGACTGGGACGGTCTCGCTGGCAACGCCCGACGGCCCGAGGCAGCTCGACGACGCGGTCTACGCCATTCCTGGCGACCCCGAGGAATGCAGCCGGCTGCGATTCGCATCGAGCCGCGCGCGCTACGTCGTGGTAGTCGAGAAGGACACGGTCTTCACGCGCCTGCTCGATGACCGCTTCACTCGTCTTCTCCCCTGCTTGCTGATCACAGCCTGCGGCTACCCAAGCCTGGCAGTGCGCGCCCTGGTGCAGCATGTCGTCAAGGCGCTCGCCCTGCCATGCGTCGTGCTTACCGACTACAACCCACACGGCATGGCGCTTATGCTGTGCTACAAGCACGGGTCGGTGAGCAGATCGCCTCCCACACGACACACCCTACGCAATAAGCTACAATCCTTCTCGTCCGCATGTCCGTGGTGTGCTGCGCTCTCAGGCCACCTTTGCGATGGACGGCTACTGCTGCCCTGAGCTCAAGTGGGTGGGGCTCCACACCGCCGACGTGCAGCTGCTCGAGACGCCGACGGCTGAGACTCCCGGCCGGTCGGTGCTCGCGGCAACTTCCTTCCAGCCGTACTCGGACCGCGACGGCGCTATTGTCGATGGCCTGCTACGCAATCCGGTGCGTCGCGCACTTTGCTATCCCTGGATGCCGACTGCTTGCCACCCATTCCGAGATTGCGGTCAGATCCTGGTTTTCCCGACGCGTGGGGTCTGGGGAAGCGAAGCAGAGGGATTGAGAGGGAGACCCTTCAGCTTCACTCACTGTGGCGCAAACAAAGCATGCTCCGTCGCTGTGCCAGGTTGGGCATCGCCCGGCTCGCTGTCCGTTAACGGTCACGTGCGTGCGCCCATTCGCAGGTGGTGGCCAACAACGAGCAGCTGCGATACGAAGCGGAGGCGATGCGAGCGGATCGACGGAAGCTCGAGCTCGAGGTGCCCTCTAGAGCGCCGCCGAACCGCGGCCACATCAATGCGACCTCAGATTATAGTGTCAGATGTTTACCGCCGCGCCCCAGGCGTTGCACGCGCTCGGCCCGGAGTTCTTTGCCTATTTCCTCCGCGACAAAATCATCTCCTCCTGCGCTTGAGTGCGCGATCAATTGTGGCGACTGGGGCATTGATGATACATGATTTGACCGTTGACACGAAAATGGCGCCAGAGAAGAAGTTCGCGCGTGCAAGGCCAAGGAACAAAGGAGGAGAGGGAACTCGACTCCGGCCAATCGCGACTTGTGGCTTTGGCTTCCGGAGCGAAACGTGCTGTCCGCGAGGTCCTCAACGGCGCACACCTCTCGGCGCTCTGGGCGGCCCGGAGCGGAGCGATTCCGCCGGAACACGCAAGGGGCCCGGCGCTCGAGATGTCGCAAACACGCGGTAGGACGCAAGAGAGATGTGTCAAAGAGAGGTGCCGGCCGTGTACCCCCCCCCCGCCCCCGCCCCCCGTGTGGAGGCGCCCACACACGGCGGGGCTCCACAGCATGCCGCTTGCCGGCAGCGGCACGCGCGGCGGGGCGGGCGGGGGGCGCGGGGGGGCGGCGCAACGGGTCACGACTCGCCAGAAACACCCACACACTATGGGGTCATTGTGTAGCCCTGCTTAGAAGGAAAAGGTTTACTGCAAGGACCAAGGTCCGTATGCCTTACCGTGTTGCGTGTAGTCGGCCGGGACGCCCCACCGGACGGACGCGGAGCCGGAGGGCCCCGAGAACGACTCAAAACATTCCGGTCTAGCACCAAAACTCTCTCCAGACGCACCGTCTATGCTTTCTTCCGGCCCCTGCCCCGTCCGACTTGGGGCGGCACCCACGTCCGCTGCGTCGCGCGAGTGAGGCCCAGCTCGCGCTTGGCGCGCCTGCAACAACGACCAGGCGTTAGCTGCGCAATCTCAGGAGCAAGACTGGCGACTAGAGATACGGCGGCCTCCAGAGCGCGATCTGGTCGCGTCTCAAAGAGGGCGCAGACGTGACGCCCTCGCGGCGCATCTCGTACAGCATCTCGTAGACGTGGGTCCACTCGCCCGCTGACTGGAGCGCGTGCAGCGCCGCGCCATAGCAGCCGGCGTCGGCGGGCACGCCCGCGTCGCGCATCTGCGCGAGCGTGTCCAGCGCCTCCCGCCACGCACCACCGCGCGCGCAACACTCGAGCGCGGCGCCGTACACCGCCACGGGCGGCGCTGCCCCCGCGGCTGTGCACGCGTCGCGCAAGAGCGAGAGCGCGCGCGGCGTGTCGGTGCCACACGAGCGTATGGCTGCGGCGTAGCTGAACGAGTCCGCCCGGAGGCCCGCCTCCGCCACCCGCGCCAGCAACGCCTCCGCCGCCGCCGCGTCGGAGGCGAGAGCGCACGCGCGCAGCGCCGCGTTGAAGGCTCGCAGGTCCGGCTGCCCGTGCGCCGCCTGGAGGAGGGAGAGCGGGAATGGCGGAGGGGCGAGTGAACGGGCCCGTGTCCGCTGCAGCATCGGCTGCAGTTGTGGGGGCGGACGGCTTTGCGGCGGGCTGAGGCGGCGGAGGGGCCGCGGAGGGTGGGAAGTGCCACGCCGGGGGCACGGGCGGCGCCTCGAGCTCTCCCAGCAGCGCGAGAGATGGGGAGATATGGGGAGATATGGGGAGATTGATCTCGCGCCTCGAGCTCTCCCAGCAGCGCGAGATATGGGGAGATATGGGGAGATATAGGGAGATATGGGGAGATATGGGGAGATATGGGGAGATATGGGGAGATTGATCTCGCGCCTCGAGCTCTCCCAGCAGCGCGATCGCGCCGTCCGCGTCCGCGGCGGCAGCGCGCAGGCCGATGGCCGCCGTAAAGGCTTTCGGCGAGAGCGGCGGCAGCGCGCCATCAGCGGCTAGCTGGCGCAGCCGCGCCCAGAGCGCCGCGCCCTGTGCATGCGCGCCGCTGCTGCCGCATGCCACCAGGCCGTGGAGGAAGTCCGGCTCCGTCGGGGCCAGCCCTTGCTCCTCGGCCTGCCTCAGCAGCCGCGTTGCCTCCGCCCCGCACCTCCCCCGCCGGCAGGCGGCGAGGGCGCTCGAGTAGCACCGCGCGCTCGGCTGCACGCCTGAAGCAGCGGGAGGGGGGGGGGGGGATCTGGGGAGATCTGGGGAGATCTGGGGAGATCTGAGGTCCGAGTGCTGCATCTAGGCCTCCGTGGCGGGCGTCGCTCACGGCCGCTGCGCGCGTGTGGGGGGGGGGGGGACAGAGCGCCGCGGCAAGTGCGAGGGTCGGCGGAAGGGGTGGAGTGGCAGCGGGCAGGTGGAGGCGGTGGCAACGGTGGTGGTGGACAAGGCGGCGATGCTGGAGGCGGCGAATGGTGGCAGTGGTAATGGAGGCGGGGCGGCGATGGTGGCGGCGGCGGCCCACCGCGGTCACGCATCGACTGCATGAGCGCGAGGGCGGCCGGTGGGTCTGAGGTCAGGCCGGCGAGCGCGCACCTGCGGGCGTGGGCTCTGCTGTGAGCAATTCGGGCGATTTCGTTTTTTTCGTTTTTTTCCAGCGGCGCGATTGGTGCGATGGCGCATCCGGCGGAAGCGGGGAGGGAGTGAGCGGGGGTGGACGGCGCACGAGTACGAGACGGCGTCGGGCTCCACTCCGGCGTCCGACATCTGCTGGAGCAGCCGCGACGCACCCTTTGGATCGCCCGCGCGCGAAGCCGCGCGAATCGCACCGTTGTAAGCGTCGGCGCGCGGCGCGAGGCCAGTCGTGTCAACGAGCTCAAGCAGTAGCCGCTCTGCGACTGCCCACTCGCCCGCTCGCGAGCAGGCTAGCGAGGTGGCGTGGAGAGAGCGAGCCAGCAGGCGTGAGCCGTGCTGCGCACGTGCCTCGTCCAGCAGCGCCACGCAGCGCTGCCAGTCGCCGGCGCGCGATGCTTCCAAAATTCGATCCACGGGTCCGGAGACGGGCGCGGTAGATGCAGTGGCGGCGCACGTGCGAGGCAACACAGAGGTGCCGCGATTCCGTGACGCCAAGTTCAACGCGAGCAGCCCGAGGAGAGTACCACCAGCCATCCCTTGAGTTGGGCTCGGGTTTTTGAAAATACTGACACGACGTTTTGCACAGCTAGGGACGGCCTCTGCGGCAAAGTCAACTCACCCCCACCTACCACCTACCACCTCCCACCACGGCTAACCTTCGGCTCCGCTCAGAGGCTCGCCGCGCCCGTGCGGCGCGCCGAGGCGGCGCCGAGGCCGGCGCCTTGCACCCGGTCCGCGGCCGGCACCGCCTCGCCCCACAACTGACCGCCCTGCGGCCCCTGCGCAGGCGTACCACAGGCGTCGCTCAAAAAGCGACGCCGGGTGTGGGATGCTCCCTTGACCCGTCACCCGCCGCGCCCTCGCCCGGCCGCCTCACCGCCCATGGAGCGCTCGGCTGCTCGCCGCCGCCGCCGCGCGTCCCGCGCCGCCACGCATGCCCCTTGCCCTGACGCGCGCGCTCTGCAGCGGCGCAGAGCGCGCGTCCCTGGCACAGACGGAGCAGCGACCGCGCCAGCGCTCGCTGCTCCGCCCCCCCGTCGCGCGCGCCGCGCGCGCGCTGCCGCCGCCGCCGCCGCCGCCGCCCCCTCCTCGCCGTCTTCCCCACCCTACCCTCTGTTGCGCACGCGCGCCGAGCGCTGCGCGCCCCCGCCCCCGCCCCCGCCCCCGCCCCCGCCCCCGCCCCCGCCCCCGCTCCCAAGCGCCCCTTCCCCGGTAGGTGTGCGTAGAAAGTGGAACCAATCGAGAGGTGGCAGAAGCCGCCGTGTGTGACACATATTGCGGCACGTGAGAGTGAGCGACAGCCCCGGCAGCGGCCAGCGCGCGCGCAGCGGCCAGCGCAACAGGCGTTTCAAACAGCAAACGGGACGGCCTGCGCAGCCTCTAACTATTTTTATGCTTTTTTCGAGAGCGCCTTCGTTCACCTCTAGATCTAGCACACTGGGCAAATCGGCCGATTTCCCTCCCGCTAAATCATCACGGCCCCGTAACACCCTCCGCGCGCGGTCAAAGGCTTCCCAGGGCCGGTCCATGACATGAACCGATAGACACAAGCAAAAAAAACCGCACCTCTAAGCTTATCGGGCACCCCGAGGCCCATACGGCGTCCCGGCGGGCCCCGGCGGAGGTCCGGCGCGGCGCTCCAAATCCGCACTTCGCGAGCTTCTACGGGAGTTCACGCGGCCTCCCCGCCTCGCGAGGCACACCCCACACCCACCACGAGTCCTGGGGCCGCGGGCGGACCTTTGGCCGCGGCGTCCGGAGCTTTAGTCGTCGAACATCGCAGTCTTGGAGAACCCTGTCCACGCCTGAGGATTCTGCACTAGCGATTCTGCCACCCAAGACAGGATTCTGTATGCGGAGGCTCGAGAGGGATTCGTGTCCGTTTCTTCTGATTCTCACTCTCCTTTTCCGGTTCTTCCTACTCGATCTACGATCTGATTCTGCCCGTCCCCTTTCCACGCACTCAGCCTCCGGGCAGGATTCCTCACCCAGCTTCCGTTTCTGCCTACTCGATCTGATTCTGTCCGTCCGATTCTCGCCTTATCAGATTCTGTCGCGCGGTTGCGGTTTCTGCTTTTCGTTCCGCGCCGATTTCTTGGTAAAATTCTTGGCAACCCGGCCGGACTCTCGTTTCCTGATTCCTGTTTTTGCCCGTCGAGGGGCGGTAGCCCGGGGCCGGCCATCTGGGCATGCTCACTCAACCAATCACGCTCATGTGTACGCGCCGTATCCTCCGCGCCACCCACTTTGCCATCGAAGTGCGCTCCGCGCTCCGCACAGTACAGTCACTTTTGAACGGCGGCTCATCACACGTGCGTCAGAGATCTCATGGGCGGTGGCATGGTGGAGCCAGAGCAGTGCGCGGCCGATCTTAATTCTGGGCAGGCGGTCTCCCATTCCCGCGGGCGCTTGGTGCCGGGGTTTGAACGGCATGCCGGCGTCAGATGCAGCTTGGCGCCGGCCTGCGGCGACCCCGCAAGCGGTCGTTGGTGCTGCTCAGCGATGCTCACAGCGGCACGTCTGCTCTTTTGCTGTGGGGAGTGCTGTCTGATTGGGTCTCCAAGCCCGCGGGCTCGCTGTGAATGCACCCGCCAGCTAGGCAGCTCCGCGGCGGTGTGGGTGTAGAACGGGTAGGCTGCTGTCTCGTGTCTCGGTGCTCGTACTAAGTCAATGGGAGGAGTGCTTCAATTTCTTCTTCTTATACGCCCAGCTCAAAAGCACACACGCATCACGACGCCTAGACAGGCGAGACGCGGCGACAGCCGCGGCGAGCTCGTTTTAGAAGCGAGCCGCTCGCGGCGAGCAGTTTTAGAAAAAGGGAAAAGGGGGAGGGTTAGTTTGAACCCGAGCCGAGCTTCGCTCGGCTCCCCCCCGCGCGGGAGCGCCCCCCCCCCTCTCCTCGGGGGGGCGGGCAGAGCCCGCACCACACACTGCGCCTTTGCGGACGCCGGACCGAGGCCTAAGCGCTGAGTGCGCTGACGTGAGGCTGGAGCGCCAGAGAGACCCGCGCCTGAGCATGCTGCCGCGGGCGAAGTTTGAGTGAGCTGTGTGAAGCCCCGCGCACACGCAATATCGGCTCAGGAGTTCGGAGAGTCAGGCCAACATAGGATCCCGCCGAAATGCGTAACTCCGAGGAATCAGGAATCAGGAATCAGGAATCAGGAATCAGGAATCAGAATCCCGGTCAAAATGTTGGAATCAGGAATCAGGAATCAGGAATCAGAATCCCGGTCAAAATGTGGGCGATCCGACAAATCAGGAATCAGGAATCAGGAATCAAATGGAGCATCAAGAATAGGAAGAGAGACAGGAGAATCGGGAGGGGGGAGCAGAATCAGGAATTGGCTCTGGCTGCCCTAGAGAATCGGAAAGGAAGCGGAGGAAACGAGAATGGAGAATCAGGAAGCTGAAAGCGGGGCCAAGATGGGAGAGTCT